AGGAAGTAACAGGTCTTTTATTTACACACCAATCGGGTCTCAGACTGAACTTGTGTTCAAAAGGTATGAGCCCAGAGCATAGTTTGCACAGGCTATTTATTAACAATAACTCCTCCTATTCATAGCTCCACTCACACATACCCTTAGACCAATCAGTGAACAGGATATTTAAGATCATCTAATATGGGCAGACCGTATGACTCCTTTTAAGGACAAAGGAATGTGACTATAGTTGAGGCACATGGTCAGTACATTGATGACAATATCTTAGCTACATGTAACTAACTAACTGATACAACAAACACTTGTACTTGTATGTGCCACATGGAGATTTCAGGCCTACTAAATTTTGAACCATGTTGAAATCCCACCATCACAAGGCTTTACCATAAGACAAAGCAGACCCTAACTTTAACTTTGGATTGTGTTGGATGTTCAGTATAATTCCAACGCAGTCTCAATCAGTGTTTTATATAGGTGATATCTTTATGAAATACTGAGGTTAAAGAGGGGCTCATTTCAGAGATGGATTGCAAAGGGTGTTAAGTGGTACAAGTATTAAAAGCTGGAGAGGGAGTATAGTTGTGGTGTAAGAGGTGTTACTGGGTTTAGAGTTAGGATGAGGTTTAATTTAGTTTGTGGTGCAATGGGTGTAAAAAGGTTTTTTTCACGTTTAGGCTTTGAGTGCTTAACCCCTTCAGGACGGAGTCAATAGTGCACGTAAACAAAAACTGCATTTTGCACTATATGTCTGTTCAACCTTAATTCCCTGCTATCACATTAAGTGCACCCACACTTATTATATATCATTTTGTTCAAGAGAAACAGGGCTTTAATTTATCATTAACTATTCATATATGGAACATAATTTATTATGAATAAAATTTAAAAAAAATTTGAGAAAATAAGATTTTTTTTTTAATTTGTATTTCCATCTGACATTTTAGCTGTGAATGTCATAATACTGTTAGGTTTTACTGCAAAAAAATGCACATATTTGTAATCAGCGATGTCGCACGAGTACCCACTAAAAGTTTTTATGGTGTTTTGGAAAGTTACAGGGTCAAATATAGAACGTTCTATTTTCAAATTGAAATTTGCCAGATTAGTAATGTTACCTTTGAGATGGTGTGGTAGCCCAGGAATGAGAATTACCCCCATAATGGCATACCATTTGACATACCCCACTTGCTATACCTTGGGTTGTCTACTTTTGCAAATGGTATGCCATCATGGGGGTAATTCACATTCCTGGGCTACCATACGCTCTCAAATCTGGCAAATTCTGGCAAAATCAGCCAGCTATAGGGGGCCACATTTGCCGTGGGAGGGCTGTCTGGGCTGTCAGGAAGTCCTCCCGAAAAGGATCGCGGCGGAGGTGAGTATCCCGGGTGCTCTTAGGGGCTGCAGCCGTTACAGCGTTCTATGCCGCCGCACCGGCTTTAAAGCCCATTTAAATGGGGGCGGCATAGAACGCCGTAACGGCATTAAGGGGCGAAATTTGAAAATAAGGAGCATGTTTGTTTTTTGAGGGATTTTGAGAGGAGTTGAATTTAGGGCTAAAGAAAAGGGGTGTTTAAGGCATGTGGAGTTTGAAGCTTATTTGCAAAGTACTCACCATTCTATGTTTCCTATAGACCTGTCACCCTCATATAATTAACAGTAGGCATGCAGGGGCTATTAAACACTGTATATCACTGTCCCCCTGCTGCTCCTGCGAGGCACTTCCTGTGTGAGAGGCTGCTAGTGGGCAGATGGGAAGTGATCCCTTCCACTTCCAGTCCAGCCTCACACACAGACACTGGAGGAGCTGGGACGGCACTGAGTTTTACACCCTCCATAACTGTTCATGCAGCTCTGCCTGGAAACATAGGAGACTGACTGGGTCACAGAGGACAATGGTCATGACTCCTGGTAGTTATCTGCCCACCAGCCCACCTAAGCTCCATAATAAGTGCTGAAAACAAGCACTCCATAGTGGACAGGTTCCTATTCTGTATAAAGGAAAATCCGACCCTACCAACATATACAATCATATTTTTCTTTCAAATCATTAAATGATCAGAGCAGGATTAGCCATAAAGCGGCTGCCTTGGTCCCAGAGGTCAGACAGGGGCCACAGAGTCACAGATATTCTTGTCCCCATGCACCATACCTATGTGAAGAATAAAGAGGGGGCTACCAATAATATGCCTTGGGTCATGTGGGGTCTTCATTGTTCTCTAAATACGATTTTAGATTCTGTCTGACTTCTGCAGTGGGTGATGTCACAGTTTATGTTTTTGACCTTAAAGGGACACTATAGGCACCCAGATAACTTTAGTTCATTGAAGTGGTCTGGGTGCAGTGTACCTAACCCCCTTAGTCCTTTTAGAGAAATTGCAGTAATTATCTTGCAGGACTAAGCTGCCTCTAGTGATGGTCTATCAGACAGCCACTAGAGGTGCTTCCAGGATTCCAGGGGCCTGTGAGGCTCTACATGATGACATCCAGCATTGGTGAAATCACTATTGGGAAGCATTGAGGCAATGCTTTTCTATGGGGAGGGCCTAATACGCTCACCGTGCATGCGCATTAGGTACCCTGTTGAACGAGGCAGAGCATGACCCAGCGCCAGTTGTGGAAGTGGGGACCAGAGAGCACTATAGTGTTAGGAATATTTATAAATACTCTGTTGGAAAATATCTGTAAATAGGAGAGAGCAGCAAGTTACTAGTGAGGTCCCTATCCTTATTAAGGCACAGAGGAATTAACATACAATTCTAACAAAGCTTATCTGATGCCATGCAAAATATATAGGGCATCAAACAACGCTCCAAAGCTATGTTTGGAATATACCGCCCATATTTCTTTGACAGCAATGGGCAAAATATCAAAAGCTGCTGTGAATGTGAGGCAATAAATCCCAAGATTGCAGAAAATCATGGGTGTTGTAGTCCCAAAAGAGTAGTGTGTTATTCTTTCTAAAATAAAAGGATCAATACTTTACCTATGCAACGAATCCTCTATTAAAATGAGTGTCTGTTATCTTTTTTAAGCCTTTTGTCAAGGGGTAGCTGTTTATTGTTCAACTGCAGCTCCTATTATCCTGAGTCATTACATGCCTAGTCACATGATGGCTGGCAGTCATGATAGTTGTGATTCAAAACAGCTTTGATTGCTACATTCTGGCTTCAATTCCAAGTAATACAAGGATTTCTTTCAACGACGCAGCGTGTTAAGCAAAGTGTTATCAGCGCTTTTCATATTAGCTTGTTCCAAAGTGAATTGGAGAGTTTCATGTAGTTGATCCTCCGGGGAAGTATTATTTACAGTTTCAGAATCCTAGCAGGTTTTTTTCTCCTTCCTTTCTATCTTTTCATTACCTGCGCGCTCTAATTCTTTGTGTAGTTGGAGGGGAATAAAGCCAGCGCCGCTCAGAGACGTGTGCTGTAATGTCAGCCATTCTATTAAAAGATAAAGAGTTCATAAAAGTCAGTACATTTTGTACTGTTGCCTCCCATGATTCACAATATCTCACAAAGTCGCACAACAAACACTTGTCATTCGGCACAGCACAAACAAAACGTTTATAGGAACGTTATAATATTTATAGTGTAAATGTACACCAGAGTCCTACCAGAGGGTCTCAGACTCAAATTATCACGCTTAATTGCGAAAGACGCAAAAATTAGGGGTCTAATTTGTAACCCGAGATCTATGGGAAAAAGTAGTTAATTTTAGGTCAAACCATATAAGATGCAAATTTGCCGCTTTTTAAAGGAACACTATAGCGTTAGGAGCACAAACAAGTATTCCCAATGCTTTAGTTGTAATATACCTATTTAGGTAGCTACAAGTGTGAGCGTTTGATAGGTGAGTTTTACTTACTGGTCTTCAACCTGCCACTCAGCCTCCTTGGCTGAGATCATTAAATCCATGTTGCGCCAATCAAATGCTCTCTAGCAACTAGAAAGTTGTTTGATCACATGACCGAGTTCCCGTCAGTTGCAAGAGCAGAAACGCTAGAGATGTTTTAACCCTGCAATGTAAACATTAAAGATTCTACAAAACAGTAACATTTTACATTGCAGGGTTAAAAATGGCAGAACCACTGCACCCAGACCACTTCATTGAGATAAAGTGGACAGTTTGAATTTTTTTAAACCTTTAAGAATTTTTCTAATTTGACTATTCGACCTTACAATTTTAATTCCCTTGTGGTTTCTCCACAATTTCTGGTTTAGCGGATAAACCTCTTGTCGTTCAGTGAGGAGGACAATTGCCCATAGGGACACTGGTATAGAGAGAATTATGGGCTGCTGCCTCAGAGCACAATACTATATTATGGTAACTTTATTATTTTATTATTATTGTACAGTATTAATATAATATATATAATATGCACCTTTCATTCAGGCCAATTGTCTATGCTTCCACATCACCACTTCCCAGTTTCTTTTTAACTCATTAGGAAAACTATCTCAATCATGGAATCGCCCATCCATTCATGCTATCTCCTCCTAGCATTGCTGCCAATTCCCTGTCTATTAATGCTATACCTCATTCAGGTAAACCCAGCTCACTTTCCATCCATGCCAACGCTCTCTGTTATTCATACCAGCTTGCCCCCTATGGCACACATTATTGCTGTGCTGCCTGGTCATGGACACATCATCCCAGAAAAATGGGGGGGTGGCCAGTCCCCATCACCCCTTTAATCCCTACGAGAAGTAATTAGAATAACATTTTCTATTTCATCCTTCCTCTGTTTCTTTTTCGCCGATCTCAGAAAGCTAATTAGGATGTAGAAAAATGACACCACCAGTACATTAAACGAAAATATGCATTTGCTACGAATAGCATGATTTACCTAATGGCTCATCCTCTTATTTCTGAAGCGCTTTTCTATGTTAAATAAGTCTGCAGAAGGTAACTAGTAAACAGTGTTTTGACTTTTACACTGGAACGCCTGCTGATAGGAGAATTAAACTCAGTGCTGAGTTAGCAGTTAATGTAATTCATGGTCCATTGTGTGTTATACAGAAGTTTACACGAACGAGCGGGGAGGGATTCAAGAGACAGTGATGCTTTATTTTTGTTGGATCATTACGGTCCGTATATATGTCTGTATTCTTTGTAATCCTGTGTGCTTGTTTGTCTTGACCCCTCGCTGGCCCAATGACCCATTTCTTGCTATAAGCATCCGTGGTCAGAAGAATAGCAAGGGTAAGTCTTTTATCAGCCCCCGTCCCCGGTTGTGTGAGTTGTCTGAAGTGTGGCTGTTGTTTGCAGTGTAGGGGGAGACTTTGTGTGTGTGTGTCTATGGAGAGACTATGATTGTTGTGTGGTGTCTGTGTAAGGTTGTTATGCGGGTAAGAGAAAGCTGTGGGTGTTGTGTCAATGGTGGCTGATAAGCGCAGACTCATTCCAGTCTGGTACTCATCAATAATATATTGGCTGGGGTCTAGCACACAAGGGAGAGCTGACTGCATCCACCCAAGGTGCAGACGACAAGCTCCCTCATTGATTTCCCTACCTAAGCCTAAATGGCAATAGGCCGTGACTTAGACAACTGTCCAGTTTTTCCACTTCTGTAAACAGGCTGGCCTGTGCCCCGTCAGATCACCTTGGTGGCCTTTCCAATATTTTACATGTAGTGATACATTGTAAGAAGTAATAAAATGAGCAGAGGCTTAAGTCCTGGAAAGTATTTACTATTCTGATGGGGGGAGGTCCACAGTCTCTAGACATTTTATACTTAGATTTATATCTTATGACTTTGGTTACCTGAATCTTTGTCCTTTAATCTTCTATGTGATTTGGTCTCTTTGGACCTCCGAGTCCCTCTCTGATATTTTCTCTGGAAAAAAAATAACTGAATAAAACTTGCGATTTAATTCAGATTCTGACGGAGTCATTTTTTGGAAGAAGGGCCATAAGACAAAGTAATTCTGTTTTCACCTTAATGTAATAACTTTGAAATATTGCAAATTTTTAAGAAAAATCAACAAACATGTAGCCAACATTTTACAAAGAGTTGTACTACACTGAAAACCAAAATACGATAATCCTTTTTATTACACAAAGGAACATTTGTAAGCATTTTTTTCTAGGAATCGGATTTCATTGTTAAAATCACTTCCAATTTTTTTTCATTTTTATTTTATTATGAGCGCACATGGATGAAAAAAAACCAGGGCAATGATAATGTTGTGACCGGCGTGATATATTAATACAACTCATATCTGAAATGTCATATCCATCATATTTATGTTGAAACACAGCCTAGAGCAATAAACTTTAATTTTCTGTGTCATATACTTGCCAATTTGTATAAAATCCTTTATTTATGACTGTTGCATCTTTGAAATAAAGATCTCCAGATGGTTTACTTTGTATTTCTTCTTTTTTCCACGAGCCCATTTAAAAAAATTCCTCTACGGTTGTACTTTACTTACTAGATTTGATAAGACTAATTATCATTCCACGTTAGATATTTTTCATTATGTGAATCTCCAATGCCAAAGCATGTAACTTGAAGACTTTATTAATATTTTATTGCATTTCACCCTCACGTGATTAAAAAATATGAATGATTTCTAACCCTTAAATTGGTTGAACAGTTGTTTATTTTAAGTACCAGATCTAGATTAATTTTTTTTGTAAATAGAACCTTGAGTGTTTTTTATCATTTTGCGTAAGAGAACAGCAGTTTGGACACGCAGGTCCCTTTGATCTCTTGTTTCAATAGTCCCATTGGGAGAGTGATCATATAGGTATGCATCGGCGACTCGCAGGTCGCGTTATATTGTATGTAGCAGACATACATTGGACTCGCAGGTCCTATGGTATATAAACATAAGTGGGCAGTGTCCTCTAATCTCTAGTGTGTACCACATGCATCGTTGATAGTACAATGCTTATTAAGTCATCAAACCATTTAGCTAACATGTTCGGGGAGTCACTTTTCCGGCTAGCAATTTTAACAGTCGTTGGTTATCTATGGGACTTTGGGCCCCTCCTTGTTTCTGATGTGTCAGGGGTAATGTGTCAAGAGCGTCTGTGAGAACAGCATTATGGTTGTGGAGGTGGTCATGGTTTGTCATTGCCCTGGTTTGTAGTTTGTACAGTATGGTTAATTGTCGGCTTGCTGCGGTCAGGTGTTCGGGTGTTCTTTGTCGTGTGCCCATGAGGTCGTCGCCTGGGTGTCTAAGGGAGTGTACTCCTGGCCCATACCCGGCATGAGTACCGAATATCGCTGTCATTGGTCATGTTTGCGGAGTGGAAGGGCCTTAGTTCTCGTCGTCTATATTAGCAAATGGTTCTTCAATGGAGTGGATAAGTCGTCTATATAGGTGTAGGTGGTGGGATGTTTGGGGGCGAGGTGCGTGAGTCTATCTGTGTCTCTCGTAGGTCCGTGTAATGTCTGTGTCATGATAATGTCGCACATTATTAACCACCTGTCTGTGGCCGTGTGGAGCATATGGCATTGGTGTGTGTGGGGGAGGAGGGGGGAACCAGAAGCAAGAAGGACGCTACCAGGGGGTCACTTTAATATTAGGGGTGTAAGAGGGGTGGGAGTAGGGTGTGGTAAGGGGCAGGGCTGTTCTGAGATCAATGTATCTTATTTACACAGACAAATTTTTAAGCACGTTTATGGTAGTTTCACCCCTTAATGACCAGGCCGTTTTTCAATTTTCTTACCGTTTTGGACCAGGGCTGTTTTTACATTTCTGCGGTGTTTGTGTTTAGCTGTAATTTTCCTCTTACTCATTTACTGTACCCCACATATTATATACCAATTTTCTCACCATTAAATGGTCTTTCTAACGATACAATTATTTTGATCAAATCCTATAATTTACTATTAAAAAAATTATAAAATATGATATGCAAATATGATGAAAAAAATGCATCAATTCCATGCACTAATTCTACCACCAGTCTTTTTCAAACATTTGGGTAGTCATTTTTTTTGTTATTTATCTCTCACATTGTACTTTAGGCATTGATTCTCAGTTCTTGTTATGTGTTACTGACAAAGAACACCCAATATGTGTTCAGCAACATCTCCTGAGAACAGTGATACCACCCATGTATAGGTGTGTCGGGTTCTCTGGGGGCTAAAAGACCTTATTTGGAGGGTGCGCATTCCAGTTTTCCAACTTGGAATTTTCACAGCTGGTCATCATGCACCTATGTCCTATTTGGGACATTTTTGAAGCCGGCCAATGTAATTTACCCCCATCAAACCATATATTTTTGGAAAGTAGACACCCTAGGGTAGTTATGGCGAACCTATGGCACGCCGAGCCATCTCTGTGGGCACGCAACCATAGGTCGCCAGGGGAGGGGGTTGCTGGTGCTGGTTGACAGCAATGCAGAGTAGGCACCTATCTGCCCAAAACGGCAGGCACCTACTTTGCTTTTGTGTCGGGAGGACCTGGAGGCAGGGGGAGGGATCTGGGAAGCAGCTCTCCTGTCCTCCCGTGAGTCAATCTGTGAGGAGCGTTGCCGCATGTTCCCATGGCAACGCTCCACACAGAATTGCGCGGGACGACAGGAAAGCTGCAGCCAGGCACATATTTACCACTACCGGACCACCAGGGCTGGCTGTGCCCCCCCTCCTTCACCAAAGGTAAGAAGAAGGGAGGTGGGGGGGGAGAATGAAGGTTTTATGTATTTTTTTTAAAATTATCTTTACCACCCACCCCCCCACACACACACAGCACCCCCCTCACACCCACACCTCTCACGCACACAGCACAACACCCCCCACACACCACCCTATGATTAGCGAACACTGACTTCCTTAATATTTAAGTTGATTGATGGCTAAAGACAGCCAACGCTCAAGTTGTATAAAGGAACTTGCAAACAGACAGGAAGGTGGTTTAAAATGGACCTGTGACTTCTCTGGAAACCACACCATTGAATAAAACCTATAACTTGTGTAAACCTAACAGGATAGATGTGTGGATTTTACCATTTCCATTTTTCAGACTTTACAAACACATATTTGTTTAATAAAGGGTATAAGTAAACATAATATTGAAAATACTGGAAAGTGACATTGTTGGAATCAATCTACATGGCCCAAATTAACCTTCAAGAATAAAAGCCAGAGGAATAAACAGTCCTTATATTTACACAATAAAGTAAAAAATGCACATTTGGAAAATAACGTAATTAAAGAATTAAGGAGAGTAAATTTATTAGATAAAAAAAAAATACAATTACAGATTAATGTGACTCAACATTTTTTTTGACCCCAGCAAGAGTTCACTTTTGGCCTTAGTAGGTTCAGAAACTTTCAACAGAGCTGCACACGTCTTTGCCCTTTTTTTTTTTTTTTAAAAAGGTAATTGTTTCTATTCTTCTCTAATTATTTCTTATTCCTTTTCCATTCCTGGACCTTTACCCCAGGTAGTTTAGAAATAGCGTGACAGAATGGCAGTTTTGATAGTTTGAAGTCTTTGATGGGATTTATGACTGCATGGGATTTTTCTTTCTAAAATAAAAATAAATAAGTGAACTGCTACATCTGCTTAGAGTGTAATGTAAAAAAAATAAAAAGCATTTGTAAAAGTCGCAGAAGTGCAATAGACTGGCTGGTAACTGGAGATGATCTGTACGTTGAAGAGAAGAATTATTACTTTCTGTTCACTAGATTGCAAGCTCTTTGGTGCTAGTTGTGATATAGTTTTCATTTTTCAATCCTGCCAAAGAGCCAGATGTTATTTACGGTAATCTTGGTCACTATATATATATTTTTTTTTCAAAGCAATATATGTGTTAAAAAGAATCACTCAACAAAATGGGGCATGTAGCCCTGGACCTATAGATTTATTAAGGTTCTTAGTTGTCCTTTTGTCGATGAACCAAATGGCCCCCAGTGTGTTCAGATGATAATGTGCAAGTTATTATTGAATTCCTTGTTAAACGTAAAAAAAATGTTGTCGTCAGAAATAGTTTAGGCTCCATAAAATTGCATTTTTTTAAAACTGTCTATCGTTTGCTTACGTTTGATTTGATCATTGCAAAAAGCTGAAAGTTAAAATTTTGACTATAAACCTGATTTTCTATGGGGTTAAAGGACCATTACAGTGCCAGGAAAACAAACTCGTTTTCCTGGCACTATAGTGTTCATAGGTCCCCCCCACCCTCAGGGTCCCACTCCCGCCGGGCTGAAGGGGGAGGAAGGGGTTAATACCTTACCTCCCTCGGCGCTGGGGAAATCTCCTCCCTCTTCTGACGTCAGTGCTGAATGCGCATGAGCGGCAAGAGCTGCGCGCGCATTCAATAAGTCCATAGGAAAGCATTTATCAATGCTTTCCTATGGACGTCAGCGTCTTCTCAGTGTGATTTTCAATGAGACAGCCTCTAGAGGCTGGATAAACCCTAATGTAAACATAGCAGTTTCTCTAAAACTGCTATGTTTACAGCTGCAGGGTTAACCCTATATGGACATGGCACCCAGACCACTTCATTGAGCTGAAGTGGTCTGGGTGCCTATAGTGGTCCTTTAATAAATCATTTTGATTACAACAGTATATAACTAGTGATGTCCCGAACTGTTTGCCGAACGGTTCGTGAACGGTTCACCACGAACGGTTCGCCGCGGACTCATCATTGAGTAAACTTTTACCCTGTACCTCACAGTCAGCAGACACATTCCAGCCAATCAGCAGCAGACCCTCCCTCCCAGATCCTCCCTCCTCCTGGACAGCTCACTAAGAATGCAGCTTCACAATGGATGCTGTCCAGGAGGTGGGAGGGTCTGGGAGGGAGGGTCTACTGCTGATTGGCTGGAATGTGTCTGCTGACTGTGAGGTACAGGGTCAAAGTTTACTCAATGATGAGTCCGCTGCGAACCGTTCGTGGCGAACCGTTCGCAAACCGTTCGGCACATCACTATATATAACACTAACATGCATAATGTTTGCAGATATATACTAAGCTTAGGAACCTAAAACATAACGAGGAAACTTTTTATAAGAGTTGGACCAGTGGCCTTTTAACCACCCTGTACAAAAGATAACTTTTGGACAATGTTCTAAAAGTGATGTGGTCACCATGGAAACCAAGGAATGTTTCTGCATTTAGAACATCGACCCAGAATTGCTCTTTATACATTACTCCCTGATTTTCAGACACAGTGAGAAGAGAGAAGTATTTGTTGCTATAATTCTTTCTTTTTTTTTTTTTTTAACATTTACATATAGGTGGGTTGTGAAATATTGGGAATATTTTTCCTGCTGAGATATTCTGTTACTGAGCAGTGTGAACATTCTTTACTGTATTTTGCTTATAAAAGTATATTTTAACGTGGGAGTGAGTTCTGAATGTTAAAAAGCTCAGCACAGATTAGTAGTGGCGTAGAAAAAAACCCACATACTTTAAAGCATTCAGACCTTTAAAATAAAACATTTGCTTACTGCAGCTCATCAAAAAAAATAAAAATAAAAAGATAATCAGAGAATAGAGCGATATCAAAAAGGTCGCCTGCTGCGGTATGCGCAGGCAAAATAATTTTGATTTTCAGTAATTTAGATTTTTTAAGTAAAAGCAAACTCTGATAATCACAAATGATTCTTGTTATCTTTATGGTTTAAGACAAAAATAAATAAATGAAGAGGTCTGCTCAAAATGTTTCTGCATAAGGACACAGAATTGCTCCAGTAACGCTGGTCTTAAAGGTACAGTGTCTTTTCTAAAAGATTTAGTGCCTTTGATAGACTAGTTTGATGTGTGTAGGTGCAATGCTCTGATATGTAGGAGTACTTTTCGGACAGTCTCTCTGATATATCTGATTCCCAAAACCTGGCAGGAGTCACACTGAAAACCTCTCTGTCCCGTTAGACTGAGTCTAGATCCTTCACTGTTCTTTGATGTATAGCAAGAGTTACGTAGTGATGTTGTTGGGCAATTTTCTAAATGTTGATAACAGAGTATAGTTGCTCACATGCCCGAGGTTGGAACTTTGACCAAGAATTGTCGTAAGTGTCTTGTAAGAAACAAATGTTTATCTTATGTACCTATTGTACATTGCTGAAGTATATGTTGGCGCTATATAATTAATTGCAATTGTATACATAGCCCGTATTCTGAAGATGAGTTAAATGTAACTGTCCATCCATGCTTCATTGGTGCCTCTAACTAGCCTGTCTGTTGATTTATGGGTGCCCTTGCTTTATTGCAATCAGACACATAATGGGATACCTTTAGAACCGGAGGTTGTAGAGCAAATTCAAAAATATCAGCAAATGTTTATTTTATTCCTACGGTAAATTATCCCAAATTAGAAATCTACCCAGTATTACTATCTGTTTCTAGAAATGTGACAGGGACAGGAAAAGGGCTGCCCCTAAAGAATCGACTGGAGTTATACACAGTTATACACAGTCAGCTATGTGCCAGAAGAGGAAGAACATAGAAACATTCGGCCCATCTAGTCTGCCCAATTTTCTAAATACTTTCATTAGTCCCTGGCCTTATCTTATAGTTAGGATAGCCTTATGCCTATCCCACGCATGCTTAAACTCCTTTACTGTGTTAACCTCTACCACTTCAGCTGGAAGGCTATTCCATGCATCCACTACCTTCTCTGAATCATTACCGTCAGGCTTTTTGCAGTAAACACTGTCTTTTCGGAGAAAATGCAGTGTTTACTTTACAGCCTAGTGATAACTTCACTGGCCACTCCTCAGATATCTGTTAGAGATCCTTCCTGGGTCATGGCTGCCTAAAATACATCCAAACATTCAGTATCTCATCCCTCTGCATGCAGACACTGAACTTTCCTCATAGAGATTCATTGATTCAATTCATCTCTATGAGAAGATGCTGATTGGCCAGGGCTGTGTTTGAATCATGCTGGCTCTGCCCTTGATCTGCCTCTTTGTCAGTCTCAGCCAATCCTATGGGGAAGCATTGTGATTGGATCAAGCTACCACTTCTGCTGATGTCAGCAGACTGCTTGCTTTTCTGAGGTAAACAGCAAGTTTCCCCCTGGAACACTAAAGAAGGGGGAGCATGACTGCTGCCCAAGATTGTGGGCTGGGTCAATAAAGCGACAATTGTATCAAAGTTGGGGTTCTTAAGGAAAGGGAGAGGGAGGGGACTTAACAGTCGGCAGGATCAGTTGAGGGCACCTGACTGTTTTTCTGGCTGACTGTCCCCTGTAATAAAAGTATAACAAACTTTAGTTCTCCTTAGTGACCCCTTCCCTGGTACTATTTACTCTGCCCACTACCTCTGTTATGGCTGCTCCGATTGACCCAGAAGCTGACCTGCAGAGGCTCCTGCAATCCTACCTGGAGGTGCACGGCCAGGGTGCCCTGGACGAGCTCGTGTCGGGCGTGAGGACAGTTGGCCCAGCTGAGGGAGAGATGACTGGTCGGACTGATGTTCCTGGCGGGTGGAGGGCCAGGAGATTGAGTCCTCCATCCCACCTATCTCCCAGCCTGGTGCGACACAGCGAGCGGCACAGGCGAGGTGGCAGCCTGGCCGCACACCCTGAGCAGCCATCTGTAGAGGCAGCGGAATCAGGCTGGTGAAGTCGGCGGTGCACTGATCCAAGATGGCGCCGGCAGCAATGACCGAAAGATCGCAGAGCCCATGCGCTTCTCTTCCACGCCAACAGGAAGTGTCGTCATTGCACACGCCACGCGGCGTGCGCACTTCGAACCGAGACATCATCCGGCAAGGTGCGTACGTGGCGGGATCACGCAGGAGAGCGAGGCCATCACAGTCCTTGCGTTCCACGGTGGCTGAGCCAGCGGTTGGAGGCAGGAGCTCCAGCAGTGGATTGCGGTTGGGCCTGGAGGTGTCTGACAGGTCCAGTTCTGGTTTAGAAGAGGAGGATACGGTGGTTCCTGCCCAGCATCCTTAGGCAGCTAACCGTAAGTATTGCGCCAGCGCTTGGGATGCACTGGCTGGGGCTAGGGATGGTGAGATGGGTAGTGGGGATATTTTACAGGGCTAGGAGGTGCTGTGTTTGCTTAGGGCAGTGCTAGACAGGCTCCCTGGGGGGGCTCTTTCTCATCCTTGTGTCACAGCTTACCTTAGTTGGGAGTCCGGTATGCAGAGATATGACTATTTCTCGGTTTGTACGCCACTTGGGTAATAACTGCTTGATCCAAGGATAAATCTGACTGCCATTCTGGGGTCAAGAAGGAATTTTTTTTCTAGCTTGTTGCAAAATTGGAAGTACTTCAAACTGGATTTTTTTTTTTGCCTTCTTTTGGATCAACAGCAAAAAACAAATGTGAGGAAGGCTGAACTTGATGGACGCAAGTCTCTTTTCAGCTATGTAACTATGTAACTATAGTGGTTAGGCACTTTGAGCTAGAGGGGGTGAATGACAACGTGATGTGGCAGGATGGGATTCATTTGTCCCCCATAGGTTTGGACATTTTTAATGCGGGTCTGCAGGCAGGGATTGAGGCTGCGCTGTCAGCGGTGGGGGGAGCGCGATGCCTGCTCAGCATAGTGCGTGAGGTGGGCATCGCACTGGCGGGTTTTTCCTGGACAGCACAGTTCGAAAAGGCACTTTGGGGAGACGACAGCCTGCACGGAGCTGATGGCGAGTAGTCGGCTGTTGAGACTCATGGAACACAATTTGGGAGAACTGTCTGTTGGGCAACCACCCAACAGCTGACAGAGTTGGACAGCATTTTAAAACTGGTTATGTTAAATAAAGCTGTGTCCGTTGCCCTTATCCACTATAATAATGTGTCATGTGTTTTATTGGGGGGCAACGGTTGGGGGGACTGGTATGGGTCAGCAGTCAAGTTTCCCCCTGGAACACTAAGGAAGGGGGAGCTTGACTGCTGCCCAAAATTGTGGGCTGGATCAATTGTATCAAAGTTGGGGTTCTTAAAGAAAGGGAGAGGTAGGATCAGTTGATCACCCTCCCAACCTGTTTTTTTATACCGCTCCTGCGTTGCACTGCTGTTCTCCTTAGACCGCTCCTGCGTTCACTGCTGCTCTCCTCAGACAAGTCAGTGTACGGTAAATCTCCTGTCAATTGCCTTACGCGTTTCGTGACTATCCACGTAACTTCATCAGAGACTTCATCTGACTTATCTAGAGATGACTTTCAAATCCTGATATGTGGGCGATCTATCTTTTTATTTTCTATCTATTTTTTAATGAATTTAATATTTGCAAAATCCAAGACTTAACCAAGAAAGTATATATTTTTCTTATGGAATGTGTGACCTGTCTAACTGATGGAAAATGGACCTGGTATCTTACTTTTACAGCAGACTGCATTTGTTGTAGTTTGGACTGCATCATCTGTCCATTAAATAGGGGCTCGCTCAATGTCTCCTGTTGTTGTAAAACATTTAGACAGGATACCCGCAGGAAAAGTTAAATTCCTCGAGTATTATTACAGATTACTTGTAACAGTATGATATTAATCTGTATTTACCTTGATCATATCTTTATCCTTGTAACATATCTCTGTTCTATTTAAGACTTTCACTGACAGGAGTTGAGCGAGAATTGGCAGACCCGTAGAGGACATCGAGGCTACACATGTTATTACAGTAATGGTTACAAAGTCTTCTGGCGTAAGAGTTATATGTGCCCTCAAGGAGTTTGATGGAACTCTAGAGGAAAGGACGAGGCAGCTGCTATAAAACAATCCAGGAATAGATAGGATAGCTAACCTTCCCTGAAAAGAACAAGCTTGAGAGGATACTACGTAACCTCTATCTTCCAATAAACATCACTCAAACACAGAGCACATCTGTTAAAGGTTAAAGAATAAAGCTAAGAAGATGTCTACCTCTGCAAAATTCTCTTTCATGAGATGTCGAGTGTGTAGGCATGAAACCACCTAAATCACGTGGACGTGACAACTCAATGTTAGGGTTAAATGACCATAAAGCTTCATTTTATATAAACTTTATATTAAAGGCATCTAATTAAAAAAGGAACCTTTTAGAAGCCTGACAAGGACACTCTTTTTATATAAAAAAAAACCTCAAGACTATTTTGTTTCCATTTCCCAGCCTTCAGATTTTTAACATTTACAGAATTCTTTTAGAATTCTATGACAAAGTGCAATTGTTAGCGAGTAGAGGCTGCTTACAGACTGGCAAATTTCACAAACAACGACAGAGAGTAAGTAATTAGGTAGAGGATGATATTGTTCTCTATGGGTGCAGATCACCAATATTAAGTGACTGGTTTCTGATTACTGGCTGCCGCTAACCCTCAAAACTTATTACCTGCCTTTTACTTGGTACAAAGAACTTAAAAGCAAGATCCCTGCACATACTATAGGAAACAAACATATAGTGGCTTACTCGAAGGGGTGAGGAGGGGGAAAAGTGGGGTGGAGGTCGAGGGGGGTAAATATGCATCTTTGCCCGTGTAGCCAAATATCCATGCACTGGCCCTGAGTGCAGGACTGGACTTCTCATCAGGCAGTGAGTGTGTGTCCTCTAGGTGGTGCCTGCTTTATAATGTCCCTTTTTGTAGGGACATGCATTACTTTGAGACAATTATCTCATTCAAAAGCTTTAGTTAATGCCAAGTTTCTTTCTTTAAAGAACACAACAATCACCATAACCACTACAGTGTACATATGATGCCAGATGTGCCCTGGCACCCCATGCAAGTAATTGAAAAGTTTTAGAATGGTTTGACTTTCTTACTTAAGGGCCGCTGGGCGCCCCTCCTTGTTTATAGACAGCTAGAAGGATGATCAGCTAATGTGAGAATGAGAGGCCAGGGATAGGCAACCTTTGGCACTCCAGATGTTTTGGACTACACCTCCCATGATGCTTTGCCAGCATTATGGGTGCAAAAGCATTATGGGGTATGTAGTCCACAACACCTGAAGTGCCGAAGGTTGCCTATCCCTGCTCTAGGCCAATGAGCTTGAAGACAAGCAGACTAAGGACATGGATTACTGGAACCATATCCTGTGGTCTGATGAGTCCAAGATAAACTTATTTGGTTCAGATGGTGTCAAGCATGTGTGGCGGCAGCCAGGCTTAATTCAGTAGTTCATTGCCAGGCTTAGTTCAGTAGTTCATTGCCAGGCTTAGTTTAGTAGTTCATTGCCAGGCTTAGTTCAGTAGTTCATTGCCAGACTTAGTTCAGTTGAGGTAACAGAAGCTGTTAGCAGTAGCTTCCAATTCTCTAAGCTTCCATTCTAAGCCTTTATTTTATCTTATCTTTTAAATGTTTCTCAATGACAACGTGCAAACAATTATCACATCTATCTGTTAATTATGCTAACGTGTTTGGATGCTTTGTATACATGCAAAACTACACAGATTTTTAGAAACAAATTTTAATGGTATTTTCTTTTCTTTTTTCTACTGTACAGATAAACCTCTTGTAATAATAAATTGAGTGCAGATAAAGATTAAAAATTTATTAAAATAAATTAAAAAAAAGTTTTGTGTTATTTGAGAACAAAAGAAGAATCAAAATAAATATCACTGATGTTCTTCTGCCGGTATACATTGTCATTTTATGCACTGATCGGACACTAAAAAGCCTGTTTGGCTGAAGTATCCAGCGCAGAAAGCAATACTAAAGATTATTATATAGTAAAAGGCTTTTGAAATAAGCTAACTGAAGCAAAACTGCTATTGATGAAAAGTTCATTTCTTTCTTAACACATTACCAAAGGAACAGGTTAGACTGACCTGACAACGAATAACAGTCTTTTATGATTGCAACACGTTATTACAGTGATCACACCAGGCAGTGTCAGCCAAATCAAGTAACAATAGGAGTTTGACGTTTTTTGGATGAACCCCAAGTTTGTATGAGAAAATAAACTAGTATTAATTAGTATACTATTGTATTGTTTGTATGAACATGACAATAATTATGTGGGTTTAAAGCTGATGTCCCTACCCCTTCCCCCTCAACGCAGTTCATTGTAAAACTACTATAATTAATGGCTGTGTTGGGAAAATTCACAGGTCTAGGGAGTGAGGACAGACAGAGACCCTGATGATTATTTTGTTGGACCCCCCCCCACCTCCTCAACCATGATGGTCTAGCAGTTAAGACTTTTCACTAATCAATCACAACATTTAAACCATTTACAGGTGAAGTGAATAACATTGATTATTTAATTACAGTGGCAATTGTTATGGGATGGGATATATTAGGCAGCAAGTGAACAGTCAGTTCTTGAATTACATGGGTTGGAAGCAGAAAAATGGGCAAGCGAAAAGATCTGAGTGACTTTGATAAGAGCCAAATACCAGACCATCAGAACTTCTCCAAAATGGCCAGTCTTGGGGAGTGCTCCTGGTATGCAGTGGTTACTACCTACCAAAAGTGGTGCAAGGAAGGACAACCTTTGAATCGGCATCAAGGTCATGGATGGTCGGCCAAGGTGGGGATGGAAGGCTAGCACTTCTGGTTCAATCACACAGAAGAGCTAGTGTAGCTCAAATTGCTGAAAACCTTTATGCTGACTATGATAGAAAGGTGTCAGAACACATCGTAGTTTGCCGTATATGAGTGTGCATAGCCGCAAACTGGTCAGGGTGCCCGTAATGACCGCTGTCCACTGGAAGTGAATTCATTGGGGAGTGCCAGAACTGGACCATGGTCTGATGTATCATATTTTCTTTTAGATCAGGTGGATGGCTGGGTGCATGTACACTGTTTACCTGAGGAAGAGATGGCAGCAGGGTGCACTATGGGAAGAACTATGGGAAGAACGTAGGCTGGTTGAGGTAGTGTTATTCTCTGGGCAATGTTCTGCTGGGAATCCTTGACTCCTGACATTCATGTGGATCATCTATTTCTATGATAGCTTGTTTTGGGGTAATGTTCGTGCTTGTGATTTTGTAAT